AAAGCTTTTCGTCTTTGTGATTTTTTTGGCCAAATGTACCTTTTTCTTCCCCAAATAGCGGCCACTAGCATGATGTCTGTGTAACAGTTCAATAATGTGTGACATACATTGTACTGTTATTATGCTTGTATCGTTACTGTATGGCCTGTAGTATTGACTGTGAGCGGACGTACACTGCGACTGTTTCTGCGGTTCCACGCCTCTGCGTGCAGAGTCACAATGTGATGCGATATTACAAGGTCTACCACACGGTCATCTGTGTTATTTGAGACGATTCACTCTCGAGACCCAGAGGACACTTAGAGAACCTCGAAAAGGTGCCTGGGAACCTGGAGCAGAACGTCACTCTGCACCGAGAGAAGTTGTTCTCAGTGAAGTATATACCTGGGACAAGTGGTGAACGCCCAAAGTATCCATACTTACAGGTCCAAGCCGTAGCAGAAGCCCGCAGTGCAAGAACTGTTCACGAACGTTTCCTGCGCTCTCACTCCTGCGGAATGACAATTAATTACCGCGGCCTGCTCATGCGCAGCGAAGGTTACGGAAGCTGTGTTTCGTGTGTCCTGTCAGTCAGTCTGTTCCACGACATCTCACTTCGCGAACCCATCAGTGTTCCACAAGAATACCACATATTCAGCATCATCAATAAACACGGTCGAAACCAAATGGGGTTGTCTCTCTCGCAACTGCTCTGCTGTCGGGAGTGTGTTACGGCGTGAACACGAGCGAGAAAATCCAATGCTAGCCTTAGAACAGCTTACCTCCCTCGAGCGTCGCGCTTGTGCTCGTGTAGCTTGAAGGCACAGCGGTCACAATGAAGAGTGTATCGACTCCGCATGCTATCTACTGCGGTAGCTAGCCGTGTCAGACTCTCTGCGCGCTCCTAGCGGAGCGCGCTCCACTGAGTAACACCTACTACTAGCCCGCGCTCCATCAATAGCATGAGCGGGCACATGCAGTTCGCCAAGTGTTTGCACTTCAGTGCTTCTTGATCGTATAGCGTATGTGATCAGTTAGTATGGAAGCTATATCGCATGATGTCAGTTCAATAATGTGTGACATACATTGTTATGCTAACTTGTACCGTTACTGTATGGCCTGTAGTATTACTACACTACTGCACATTTCTGTGATGTATGTATGTAACCGCTAGCTGATGATTGTTGGCCATTGGTGGCTTCCCACGTACACTGAGACTGACTGTGAACACATTGTCATGGAAATAATGTAAATGCATGCCTACCAAGTTTCATCTCCATGCATGGTACCATTAGAGGTAAAGAAGTGCAAATTGCACCGCTAGTAAGTTGAGGAGCGAAGAATTGGTGCCTGAGGCCATTTTTAAGCATGTAGTTGTCATGTAAATGATGTAATGCACGCACATGCTTATCAAGTTTCATACCAATTTTAAAGAAAAGTGCCTGGGGGTGGGTGGGAATGGACCCGTGCCATCCCTATTATAGAGCGGGGCTATTAGTTACAACTCGGCATGCAAGGGTTACCATACTTGGTTTGTAGATCTGTCTTTTATACTGTCCACACTGTTTCTCACTCATGGAGTGAACACCTGCACATGCTCAATATGACTGGATGTGTGGGTAGTGCACTTGCAGTTCTACTACAGAATGACAAAAATGTCTGATGACAATAATGTAGTGTAGAGTACAGTTATCATAATTGTTCTGCACAGAGGGTTGGCACCTTAGTGCTTAAAGTAAGCAACATGTTCACTAGCTCTGATAAGTCTCATTGCGCTGTAGATACTCACACTTTAATTACTTTGTGATTCGGTTTTTGAGTTATATCATCTTAAGGAGAAGAAGACGAACAAAACCATCATATCCCCATACTTGATGCTAGGTATATACTCTACCATGCTCATCCTTCTAATTACTGTACTTAGTGATACATTCATTATCGTGCCGAGGAATGCCTGAAGAGTTCTATCTACACGTGGCTATTGTGGCTGACACACTTACCTGCACCTGCAGTTGATGCAACCGCTGTATAGCTTCTCTCTTTCACCTCGTATATCCTCCTCCTACAGTTGTAATTATAGCCACAGAATGTGGGTCTAAATATAAGGAATACCTTTTTAAGTAGGCTCTTAAATCGTTTGACCCGTGGTTCGGCCTCCCCAAAGTCAGTATCCTGCTAAATATTGATAAGGATCTTAGAATATAGAATGATACGTGTTTCTCAGACTTACTTTACCCGGGTCGTTTGATGTCAGTGATCTCCTCTTACGCGTTGTTTCTGTTGACACACTACTGGTTGATGAAGTCGCAGATGAATAGCGGAGCTGCCAGCGATGAAGCAGCGGGATACTTTTCTTCTATCGTCTTCGCTAGCGTTATTAGATTGACTTTAGGGCTCTTGAGAGCGTTCACGATGTCTCTCCTGGTGGATTCGGGTTTTCGCTGCAACAACAGGATAATCATTTGTAATAGCTTATCGCTTGGATCCGACCACTTAGTGTCAAGTGCCTGTATGTCGTGTTGCTCAATTTTCAGTTTCAAAGCCAGGTGGTAGGTTTTATTCTGCGCGGGGATTAGTTCGTCCACTAGTAATGCCGTATCGTCTTCAGTCAGCTTTTCATCCATAGCTAGTTCATGTTCATATTGTTGTCGTGGCATTCGGAGCCACGCCTTCTCGGGGGAGAGAACCGCAGTATCCTAACATTGCGTAATTTGGAGGGAGATTAGTGTCAAATTTACGCACACCAACGTTCGTTCAATAAGATAGTCGCACCATGAAGTGCAAACCCTCGGCGAACTGCGCATGCGCGGTGCCGCTAATCGATGGGCTGGGCCTATTATACTAGTATCCGTTTACTCCCGCTAGTAGCTCGCGGAGAGTCTGACACGGGCTAGCTACAGTAGTAGATAGCATGCGGGAGTCGATACACGCCCTTCGTTGTGACGTCTTCTGCCTCCAAGGTACGCAGAGAAAGCACATCTTTTCGAGGTAAGCCCGTGCTAATTTGCATATTGGCTTGTTCACTTGGTTTTCACGCCATAATTTCTGAATGCGGCACTTTTACGAATTTTAAATAAAGCTAGTGTAGCTCTGAACCCGCTGGTGTCGCTATTTTACCTGTTTGTTGCGCGTAGTGGCAGAAATCGTGGTAACAGACGGACAGACGGACAGACAGACCAAGTACTGTAACCATCGCTGCGCATGCGCGCCTCCGAGGGTTAATTATTGGCGAGCGGGAGCGAGCTAACCTACGAACGGCGCTGCGACCGTACGCCGTCCAACTGCGCATGCTCGAGGATTACGCGCTTCGTCAAAATTTTCACATAATGTCGTGCGTATACGTACGTGCGTGTGTCGTACTCTCGCAATCATGGAAGGATCAGTCCAAAGAAGATGCCCTTCGTCGTCGAAGAGAGAGGGAAAGAAAACGTCGTGCCCGTGAGACTCCTGAGCAGAGAGAGGCTCGTCTGTATTCACTGGCTCGTCTGGTCAACACTGTTCTCTCTTTTGTGGTGTTAACTTTTGCTCTGAGAGTGCACATGCTTGTGTAAAAGATACCGTGTATAATAGCTATATTATACATATTGGTGTGTGATACTAGTATGGGACCTACCCAGCTTTACAGTCTCTACAATTGTGGAACTGGAGTCTCAGTATATACATGTATATACAAACCTTCATTACTTTTAAACAAAACCGGAGTTATTGGCAGTCATCGATAAGGACACAGCATGCACTCTGTAAAATTCAGCTGAATTATATATTTGGAGGCCATCATGCGTACAACCCCTAAAACTGCCTAATGTTCATCTATGTATTGTGTGGTCAGTTAAAGTTTTAAGTTTTATTTGGTCATAAACCACGTTCTGCACCCTCTATTGATAGATGTATCACTGTATAGCATTGCTACCTTCCTGATATTCATCAGATTATACTGAAATAGGAAGTGATGTATTTGCAGCACATTTTTACTTGACCATGCTCTTTTTCAGCTCAATAGCTGCAGGAACAGTTGCCATAGATTAGCTACCTTCTACCATGGTGCTATGCACCTTTTTGATAACACTTTGTGTACCATGGGGCTATGACCTTTTGTATATAGTCCAACTTCAAACAACCTGGTGCTAGGAATATGAGCTGTGGGCTGCGGGTATCAGTCCTTATCACAACATCTAGCGCTAGGCGTAGTGCAAATTGTCTGGCTTCCAAGTTTACACAACAGTCCTTAGTGCAGGATGAAATTCAGCATTGTGATTGGCCAGTTGGACTACAAATCAGTTAACATCAGGCGTCATTATCGCCTCGCCGCCTATACGTTAACTAATACCCAATGTTGAATAACCTTTGACGCATTTTTCTTAGTGGAGTTGTTTATAGACCTTGTGTTTAATTAAACTGGGATGTAATTCCTGAGCATGTGTGTAGCTATCTTTTCGCATTTGTACTTGCTTATCAGTGGACTGCCAAGTAGCTGCCTTTATTAAACAGCGTGATTGTTTCTCTTGGCTTTTTATTGCAAATCTCGCCAATGAGATGTAGCTAAGCATAAGTTTGAGTGGACTGTGGTAAGCATAAGCGCTCGATATTCCATCTACCTTGGTATAGTTGCGCTCTCTATGGGATGCTTTCTATTTGGCTGGTCTTGGTTATGATCATGAACCACATGGTAAAATAATTCTCCAGCTGTCAGCGTCAATTGGAGACCCTGCAGTTTTTAAGGGTGCTATTTCGACCAAGTGTGCGAATGCAGCGCAGCAACAGCATTTGCAATGCAGTAATGGCATGGAGGCTAGGTTTGCCAAAGTTCGTTCCGTCATTCCACAACCAGATACTCTCCAGAGCAACCAGATTGGAACATCAGAGCGTATACTGGGGTGTTGCTATGGTCTCTAATGTTTTCACCTATGGGTTACTATTTTTGGCTGGGAGAGTGTATTCAATTTTCTTCAGTTACTTCAATACCTCTGATCGACCCTTAAGTGTACCAACTGTTCTGTCTGTTCAAGGTTTGGTTGCCCATTCTGTACTCTTTGTTGGTGCTCTGATTCCATTCATGAAGGGTCGTTATCCTGATATTCCAATCCCAAGGGGAGTTATTAAAATCTTACTATACGTTTCATTTTGCTTCTTTTCTCCATTGGCATGCTTTCTTGGACATAAAGGAAAGACGTTGCAATTTATGGTGATGTTCAGTTTCATGAATATTTTATATCACAATATTATAATGGATGCGATATCCATTATGTTTGATGAAGAGGCTAGGGCAAAAGTCATATCTACCATCATTTTTTATGTTTCAATGCTAGTTTTTCTTATGCTTTTTGTCTCATTCTAAAACTTTCGCCTCACCTATTTATTGCTTCGTATAAAGCCGTTTAAAATTCTGAGATATATTGTAACACCCTGAATTATTTTATCTGCCGTCGTGTTTCTGCTTGTTATCTTCATGGCCATATTCTTTACTTACAATCCAAGTGGGGTTAATGGAGTAGCAGCCTCTCTGTTGCCATCTGTTGCTCTGTCTGGTGGCTCCTGGTATATCAAGAGGAGATTTCAAGATGAATTGAAACTATTAGATGCACCAGATCAAACTGAGGAGAACCACGAGCAGCCAACGAATGGAGGGAATCAAAAACCCCAGCAGAATGGAAAGGAATCTGCACTTGAAAGTTTGACGGCTAATTCTGTTTGAATGTTTTTTGCTTTTCATATAATATAATGATTGTTCATGACTAACATTCTTTATTAGGCATCATCATTCTCACACGCACCGCAAATAACGTGCAAAGAGCTTTATTTAGAGCACGATGAAATAGGAAATGAATTAGTGAACAAGGTGCATGTAACTTACATGTAAAATAGCGATTTTGGTAAAAATGCTGCGTTCCAAAGTTATGGCGTGAAAAGCAAGTCAAGGAGCTAATTTGCAAATTAGCACAGGCTTACCTCGATCGCTCTGTGTATCTTGAAGGTACAATAAGTCACAACGAAAGGTATATATCAACTCCCGCATGCTATCTACTACTGTAGCTAGCCCGTGCCAGACTCTCCGCGAGCTACTAGCGGGATACCACGAGTAAAGGAATGCGCACGCGCAAATTTTGCCTCGCGCCTGCCGTAAACAGTCCGACTGAGGCCGCTCGTGCGCGCGCTCTACTGACTGCGCGCGAAGCCAGACTTCGTACTATGAATCTGCGCGCACGGCGGAAGCTAGACTTCCTACGAATGACGGAAGTTGACATTCTTAAGCGTGACGACACCTAGTCGGCAACTAGGAATGCGCACGCGCATATTTTGCCTCGCCCAATGTCCGATTGGTACCGCGCATGCGAGGGTCTTTCGTTAACCATCGGCGCGCATGCGCAGCGAGGGTTACTGTACTTGGGTTGTCCGTCTGACCGTCTGTCTCTCTGTCTGTCCGTCTGTTACCACGTTTTCTGCCACCACGCGCAACAAACAGGTAAAATAGCGACACCAACGGGTTCAGCGCTACACTGGCTTGATTTTTAAAATGGCGATTTTCGTAAAAGTGCCGCGTTCAGAAAGTGAACAAGCCAATTGCTAATTAGCACAGGCTTACCTCGACCAGGTCCGCTTGCTCTGTGTATCTTGAAGGCACATGAAGTCACAACGGAGGGCGTGTATCGACTTCCGCATGCTATCTACTACTGTAGCTAGCCCGTGTCCGACTCTCCGCGAGCTATATATACACTAGTAGCCGAATGCATGGCATTTTTGGCGAGCGGGAGCGAGCACACAATGACTCTATCTACACGAGCCATCCTACAACTTGAACCTTAGAATCACGAAGATTGGAAGGAGGTATAGACATCCTCGGTCAGATATCGAAGAGCGCAGCAAATGCCAGCAAATAGACGAGAGCTGTTAGGCAGCGCGTAAAAATTCGCGCGTTCCCTATCACGAAAGCGACGCTCATACAAAAGAGCCTCTCTGCTCAGGAGTCTCACGGGCACGATGTTCTCTTTCCCTCTGTCTTCGACGACGAAGGGCATCTTCCTCGGACTACACGCACATGTATAAGCGCGACGTCATGACAGGCAGGCAGCATGTGAAATTTTGAAATCCTTTCGGATAAAGAGAAGCGCGTAATCCTGGAGCATGCGCAGTTGGACGACGTACGGTCGTCGTATAGAAAATCCGCGCCGTTCGTACTACTAGGTTAGCTCGCTTCCGCTCGCCAACTAGCGGGAGACAACGAGTAAACGCATACTACAAATAGCCCAGCCCATCAATTAGCGGTACCGCGCATGTATATATATACAGTTCGCCGAGGGTGTGCACTTTAATTCTTGTGTGCCTGTTCTTGAACCAATAACTGGGTCTCGGTGAGGTGTAGCTTGGACGCGAGCTGCTCCCGCTCGTGCCCTGTGATGTATTTCCGGACAGTGAAGCATCGCTCCAGCTCGCAGACCTGGGCGGAAGATAAAGGGCCATGTGCCTGTTTCTTGTTCTTGCTTGAGTCCACGGCAGAACCAGCACATGTCAGAAAAACAAACAGTGGTCAGTGACATCCACAACATCATCAACATTGGCTTTGAAGTGCTGGAATATGTACGTATATCGGTTTGGTTGATGACTTACGAGGAGTGTGTCTTTCCAGGCTCTGCCAATGATGAGAGAGACATACACAACAAAGACATTTATACATTTGCTCTACTGCAGAAACAACCTTTGTACGCACTCACATGTGAGAACTTGTTTTTAAATCTTGTAGAAACTCGCATTAACTAAGGGCCGTTAATTACACCACACAAAGTATGTATAATTATACACTACACGACATGTTGTACACGAGGGTGGGACACCAGATGCCCAGCCTAGAGAACTGGGTGGGGGTAGCTCATTCCCAAGGACCTCTCCTCTACAAAACGAGTGAAGGAGAGTATGACACATTGTCCCACAAGGCTATCATGTCCATAATTGGTAAGCAAGGTAAAGCCTATATACCTAGTCTTCTGAATTGGCGACAACTAAACAGATTCTCGGTTAACACTTTACTGAAAATGCTGCATTCGTCAAGTGAGGCACTTTACGCATTAAACAAAATTTGAACATGTGCTCAAAAGACATGATCACTCGTATTAGATGAGGATCCTGCATACACAACACAATATGTTACAAACTGTAGCTGTCATAGTGGAGCGGTGTTTACTGGTCTTTGTATATAGGAGACTTGGTACACATCCACTCACCAGTCCACGACTCCACTTAGTGGTAGTCTCGAGGACGGTGGTCTGCCACACCAGCCCTGGAGGCAGGGGATGGACTGTGTAACAGACACACTCTTCATACCAAGGATCTCGCCGCTGGACGACGGAGTTATCACTTGAAAACACTGCGTTCTTTCCACACTTATTACTATTGAGTGGAGCAGGAGTGGCGATCCAGTCAGAGACGTCCGCTGCCACCGACATCTCGAGAGAGAGACGTGTGGGAGGTGAGTGAGGTGTGTAGCGAGGAGGAGGGGCTTGCTCGGAGTGATGTGCGCTAATTGGAAATTCACAGAAACTGATACCATGTTTATACCGACTACATACGAGTGAATCATGTTGTGCAAAGACTTGAAAACTTTTAGTTCATCATTTTTATTAGTGTTGTAGATTCATTTTTGCATAAAAAGTGAGAAAGGAGTAGCCACCATGTGAAGTATCTATCATGGCCACAGTGTACATAGATATTGAGGACGGTGTATGGTTTGCCATCCAGTGATGGATTCCTGGGCCGCCATGTCTCGACACGTAGAAGATCCCGTGGGATTGGTAGCTAGATGTTTTGTACACACACAGTTGTCAGACATAAGCTTCACGTTGACTACTGCATAATTTTTACTATGTACACTACGTGGGGCGGCACTAATAGGAACCACGATAGTGCACCACGTTTTTACTGCGTAAGTCATTTTATTCCAGATTCGATTTTTCTACCACGTTTTTACCGCTACAAGTAAGTCATTCTATGTTTTTCTACCATGTGTTTACTGCTACAAGTGAGTCATGCTACAAGTGAGTCATTCTACCTTGTTTTTTACGTCCAGTAAGTAAGCTAGATTCTATTTTTCTATTTTTCTACAATGCTACCAATTTCTTTTTTCTACCATCTGTGTTTGTGTATATATTTATATTTATATGTATCGTACTCTACATGTGTTGTCGTGACTGTACTATCGTACAGTTACTCACTGTGTGGCTGTCATTGTTTGTGATGTGGAGTTTGGATGCTGGGTGTGTGGGGAGAGTTGGCTAGCCATAAAAGACTCTTTAACCCACCGTCCCGGTTCTCAAGGCCCAGACCCAGTGTCCTACTATCATGTCATGTCATGTGTATTTGTGTATGTGTTTTGTGTGGATGTTTTGGGGTTTGTAAATATGGTGGTGGTGGTTTTTATTTATTTCTCTATCTATCTATCTATCTATCTATATACCTATGGCTGGTATGCTATGAACTATAATTTCATGCATACTGCACTGCACATCTGAAGAGACCACAAATGTCTTCAGTATGCGTTAATTTTAATTATCATTGATTGATATCATGTGCAATTACAACGGTAAAATGACCAGTAGGCTTCTTCCCAGGCCACGCCTATTTTGCGTATTTCTTCTTCTTCGGATTCCGAGTCCGAAAAATTGCGTCCCACGTCCTGGTTGCCATAGAGACCTCCTCCGCTGAATCACATCAGCGGAGGAAGTTGCGGTTGCCGTAACTTTGAACCGGCGGAGCTGCAAGAGAAAGATATTATTTTGTGTCGTTATCACACATACACATACCATCAGTAATTAACCCTCGGCGCGCATGCGCAGCGAGGGTTATGTAGTTGGTTTTGTCTGTGTGTTTGTGTGTGTGTACGTGTGTGTGTACGTGTGTGTGTCTGTTACTCTACATCTCACCTCTCGAATGTCTGTTCGTCCCAGAAACGATACCATCTACCCAACGGGCGACGAAGGTCAGAAAGTATGTGGGGATTTCTCTGAAAATGCTCCGTTGCAGAGATAGAGCGCTTCCAGCATTGTATGGTAGTCGCCATTTTATCGCTGTGGCGGATAATGCGCATGCGCTTATATTTAGCACATGCTTATATACCTCGACAGGGTCCGCAGGTCCGCTTGCTCTGTCTATCTTGAAGGCACAAGAAGTCACAACGAATGCCGTGTATCGACTCTCGCGTGCTATCTACTATACTGTAGCTAGCCCGTGTCAGACTCTCTGCGAGCTACTTCGCCGAGGGTTTGCACTTTAGTCTGTGTGTCTGTTACTCTTCATCTCACTTCTCGAGTGTTCTTTCGTCTCACAAAGGATTACCACCTACCGAACGGGCAATGAAGGTCAGAATTTTCGAACGGTTTTCTCTGATTGCAAAGCTAGACCGCTTCCACCATTGTACGGCTAATGGCAGATTAACCGAGGTTAAACGTGTAGTCCGCGGATAAAATATCTGCTAAGCGCTTCTTGCGCGCTCACAGCTCGCGCAATTGCAGAGGCGGAGTCGCTTCCGTGCGCATGCGTATAAAAGGGGCGGTGCCTGGCACAAACATGGCGGCGGTAAAATTCAAAAACGTACCAGAAGGCAAGTGTATGGAGCCTTCGTTTGTACCGCTAGCGCAACGCTGGAACAACATAGCTGCGGTGCGTAACACGGATTCGTAATAAAATGTGCGCACGCGCGTGTATAATACGTATAGTGAAGTGCGTGCAAGCTGGCTGTATGGCTCAGTCTTCCTCCAAGGATGTTCCTCAGGACTCTGCTGAGGGATAGGGCTAGGGCTAGTTCCTCAGGACTCTGCTGATGGAAAGAACAAGATAATTAATATCAGCTATGTCAAAGAGCTTCGCCATTAGCTCGACCGGCTTCAATGGAGGTGCTCCCGCAGGAGCGAGAGCGGACTTTAGAGCTTCCATTCGCGCTGCCATCGTGTCAGTGTTGCCAAACGTTAGCTGGATAGTCAAACGTGGGCCGCCGGCCCTCGGTTTCTTGGCCGCTGGAGGCACAGACATTCATGTGCGAGTAGCGCAAGAAGCGCTGTTCAGCGCATTCATGTGCAAGTAGCGCAAGAAGCGCTCATTCAGCATTGAGAGGCTGTTATTAGGACAAACGCAGCGTGTTTTAGTGCGTGGAAACGGATGCGTGGTAGCCAGCGGCTCAGGAAGTGAAGAGACAGTAGTTTGAACACCGCCATTTTGTCACGGTGTGCGTTAAAGTTAATCGATTTTTGCCTGGCACGCCCCTTTTTATACGCGGACTACACGTTTAAGGAAAGAGGACCACGAAAATTGTACAGGGGATCTGCCACCAGTGACGACCAATTTGCATACTTCACACCAGTTGATTCCACCTCGCTCTACCGATATGAATGGAGCACAGAGAAATGGAGGAGACTTCTTCAATGTCCGTACCAAAACTCAGGACTAGTGGTCATCAACGGTAGTTTGACAGCAGTTGGAGGAAGAGATGGTTCCTATCGTACGAACCAGCTATTCACGCTAGTGAAGAGGCAGTGGTTCAAAGAATACCCTCCCATGGACACGGCCTGTTCTTCTCCTGCTGTAGTCAGCGTGCCAGGTGGCGATTTAGTTGTCGTTATTGGGGGGTATGCTGAGCTAAGCTACAAAACAACGTTAGTCAAACTCCTCCAAATCAGCACTTGTAGATGGTATAACCTAAAACCACTCCCAAAACCACTCCCCTTTCCTTCAGCTCTAATGTGCAGTAATGAACTGAGTGTTATAGGAAGCAATGGACAAAGTTTTTCATGCTCCCTTCAACAACTTCATAGCCAAAAGCCCATTTTACATCAGGCACTAAAGGACACCCTAACGTGGAAACAACTCCCATGTCTACCAGTGAGGGACAGTGCAGTTGCCATTCTCTGTGGACAACTTGTATCATTTGGTGGGGAGCGAGGTGGGGCACCAGTTGGCTCTATCTACCAGCTACTGGACCAGTGTTGGGTTGAGATTGGATCCATGGCCAGTTGCCGGTGGAGGTGCTCTGTTGCAAGTTTCCCTCCTGACAGAGTAATTGTAGTTGGTGGAGGCTTTGGGACACAGGCACTGGACATTGTTGAAGAATGCATTGCCTTCAGATAGTTTGACATTGTTAATTTCTCATTATTATTGTCACAGTTAGTTATCGATATAGTATGTTGCCGAAAATTAAATTGCGCATGCGCGGAAGGCGTGGTCCAGTCGAAGAGCGAGACACTATAGCTAGTGCGCGCCATGGATCACTTGGACCCAAGAGGACAAGAGTTGTTCGCTCATTATCGGGCCATCTCTGCCAAGTTAAGAAAGTACGTAGCTAAGGCTAATGTGATGTTTATCCCACCGCTAACCGGCTGGCGAGCAGGCCTCTCGGGCAAGTATAATACTGTGGAGCTACTATGATGTTCCACTGCCACAAGCAAACGTTATTATTTTGCCTCCATTTTGTCTCATGAAAATAGTCTCGCTAGCCAGTCCCACACCAATGATTTAACATTATTTCAGTTTTTGTGTTGTGGCGTTGTCAGCACATACTATCATAAACTGTTCTTAGGCGCTTCATGAAAAAGCCAAATGTCAAGGAAGCGAGTGAAGATTATGGTAAGTTATTACCTACCTCATCTGCTGTCAGCTCACTGTGTATCACTGAGCAGGTAAACTTGCTAATAGACTCAAGAATGAGGACAACCCCCACTATTCTTCCATGTGCTTCCAGGCCATGGCCAAGTAAGTTATTTTAACTTGTATAATGGCTTGAAGTTACTATCCTGAAGTTCAAAAATGTTTGCTGCTAAATGACTACCATGTATTCTCCCATAAATAACCTCAGTGAAATTTCCTTATGGCTGTTACTGCCACAATATTATATGTACGTGTATGTGTGTGCACCTGTCTGGATTTTTATTTTTATCAGGTGTGACCGTCTGATGGGAGACTCATCAGGAGAAGCTGAAGCATGGGCCAATGCTGGTCAGTAGCTATATAGCTATGCACATGTCATTCATTTGGCACAGAGAGCTCATTATTTCATGTGTGTCCAACAGGTCGTCAGTTTTTCACGGCAGAAGAGCTGCTGTTCAGTGCACAGCATGCTTCGTACAGGGAGAGTCTTGATGCTGGAGTCCACTGCTTTATCATGGCCATTGACGTGAGAACATCTCCACTGTTTCAGTGGTACAGCTCTATCTAGTGTTTGTGTGTGTTTCTGTTCTGACAGGCTCATGAGAGAAAGGGAGATGGTGTAATGGCAGCCATGTTCTGTCTGGAATTAGCTGGAAAACTAGTGGTACACAGTATAATGTGAGGAGTAAATGATGCCTTTGATGTTGAACTCCTTTTTGATGTAGCATTTCGAGAGGCTTCACGAAGCTTCTAGGTTTTTCCAAAGGGCAATTGATCTGCAAGTCAATGTAAGTGCTCCTAGGCATTAAAGTATAAGGCGTGTGCACTTTAGAAGCAAACATTGATTCCATGATGATGCTGTTGTTTTTAGAAACCAGAGTGCCAACTGCGAACTCTGGAAAGACTTGCATCGTGCAAGCTCAGACTACGTACGTGAGGGATACCTAATGGCGTGTATTGCAAGAGTAAAAGAAACTTAACAGTTTTTTAATTCTCACACAGGAGCGTATGATGGTGCACTGAATGTGTACACCAGGATATTCTCAGAGACAAAGGGAAAAGAAGGTAGCTATTATGCTACCAGCTGTGTCATCATCTACTGTTGTGTGCACATGTATAGGTCCCTACCTAGTTCTTAGGAAGAGATGTGAAGTGTGCATTTTGCTGCTACTTCTCATGCTTCAGGTATGAGTAGAACCCTTGTCATTAAAGGGAATGTGGCAGTATATAAGGGCTATACTAAAAACGGAACTTGATTGCTCCTATTGTTTTGTTCTATCTTTAGTAACATTTCTAGATATAGCCCGTATGTACTGACACATTCCCTTTAATGTCCCATGTGTGACCATGGATTTTGAACCACACTAGATTCCTGAGAGACACTATAAGACAGAGCACTCCATGATCATTGAGTCTTACTCCAAAAGTATTCTCGACATGGAGTACAAAGGTATATAGCTAGCTACTTGCATGATTGTGCGAGAGCTCAACCTTCACCTGATTCTCTCCCCACAGAAACTGATCACAGTCTCAATAGATACATACTGCTTCAATCACTCATTGTGAGTTATGGTTTGGTAGTTAACCCTCGGCGCGCATGCGCAGCGAGGGTTACGGTAGTTGTTCCGTAAGTGTGTCAGTCTGTCAGTCTGTCTGTTACCACGTTTTCTGCCACCACGCGCAAGAAATCGGCCAAAGAGCGATAGTAACGGGTTCAGTGCTACACTGGCTTCATTTTTAAAAAGGTGATTTTCGTAAAACTACTGTGTTCTAAAGTTATGGCGTGAAAACCAAGTGAACAAGCCAATATGGTAATTAGCACAGGCTTACCTCGACCGGTCCGCTTGCTCTGGAGGCACAAGAAGTCACAACTAAGGCCGTGTATCGACTCCTGCATGCTACCCACTACTGTAGCTAGCCCGTGTCAGACTCTCCGCGAGCTACTAGCAAGTAAACGTATACTAATATAATAGGCCCAGCCCATCAATTAGCCGTACCGCGCATGCCCAATTTGCCGAGGGTTTGCACTTTAGTGCTTTTCATTTAATGGGTGGAAATGCCTAGCATTCTATGGGCGAGTGGAACAGGCTTATTATAGCTTTGCTATAATCATGTCCCTCTGTGCACGTATTCTGCACAATGCGTAAGTCTCATGATCATGTAGCTATATAGACAGAGATGAAGTCAGAGCTAATGCAAGCGAAGAACCAAGAGCATATCCAGTAATGACACATTGAAGAATGAGAGAGTCACATGCATGTGGCATATATACAGGATTGCGAATTTCGATACGAATGGTGAATTTGCGACAGCCCCAGTGAAATGGAGAAAATCTCCCATTCAGATGACTAAGTAGGCTAGCTTCACTCGTGTACAACGGATAAAAACAAAGGCAACTTTGTGGTTGGCTTACTAAGTTACTCCACCCACCTTGTTCATGAAAGCAGCAACATTATTGTCAACCCTCGGCAAACATTCGCAGTGAGGGTTGCTGTACTTGGTTCACGTGTGTGTCTGTCTGTCTTTTACCACGTTTTCTGCTACCACGCACAATAAGACAAACACAAGAGCGATACTAAAAGCTTCTTTGACAAATTGAGGAGAAAGGGCGTTGACTTCGGTCATGCTATATATTACTATGGAGTCCCTCAGAAGAGCGTTGAGATCAATAAACAGCTTCAGTTCTATACTGGGTTTATTTTAAATTTGGCGAATTTCGTTAAAAGTACTGCGTTTGAGAGTTATGACGTGAAAACCAAGTCACACAGACTTACCTCGATCTGATTTGCTTGCTCTGCGTACCCTATATAGGAGGCTCCAGAAGTTGCAACGCAGGGCAAGTATCGACTCTATCTAGTAGTGTAGCCAGCCCATGACAGATTCTAAGCAGCAAGAGACCATGAGTATAGTAAAATAGCCCAGCCCATCAATTAGCTGAGAGTTTGCACTTCTAGTGACTAAGTCCTGTATAATCAAATTGCTATGCCCCATCAAGTATTGGGTGTAGTCTGGTGGATAAGGACTCACACTGTAGATCGTCAGCAGTTCGATCCCAGTCTGGGGTGTTTTTTTATTATAATGATGCAATATGAGTGTTGATATAAGTGGAACGTTTTTCATCAGCTCTCGTGGCGAGCCCAAGTGGCTAAGTGGTTAGAGACTTGGAGACTGTCACATAAGGTGCCCGGTTCGAATCCCGGACCAGCACTGAAACTGACAGGTGGTCCAGAACATTGGCTGGGAACAGCTCTGGTTCCTCCCCTTACCCACGAATCTACCATTGACCCATAAGGGCAGCGTATAGTTTGGCATTGCACTGCGTCCATAGACCTCTGTCTGGGGCTGGCCCAAATTGTTTTCTACCTTTATATATTTTTTTCCAGAATGCATCCAGAAGAAGGGACTACAAAGAGATAGAAGCTGTCAGGGCAAGCCTTTGGTGAGACACTGAATAATGCACAACTCTACAAGTGAGATGTTCAACAGAGTTGTCATCGTAGGAGCCATCTGGATGAGGAGCAGCAGCACCTGATGCATCTACTGATGGAGGTCCACTGCCCATACAGACGCCCACTGCTGTGATGTCACATTGCTTGTGTAATGTAAGCAGAAACAACCATCAGGTGGCATGACACCAAAACTCATCCACTTTCCACTCAATTTGTTTGACCCACACACATTGTAGTAAACCGCTTGTTCAACGTTTTCCTCGCACAGTATAATAATTATTGTGTTTTTGAGTTGCCATTTATAAAGCTGCATGTCAATCAATAATAGTATCGTATTTGTAAACCCCATGACATTGTCCGATGGTCCAGTTGTGTGTCTTGCTGTCTGTCCGGACCAGCTCTACACAGCTGCAGTAGGTGGCCTCCATGGGCTCTGTGGTTCCCCCCAGCTCCAGGCCAGCCAGCACACCGTACTCATGAGTCACTAGGAGCAGGTTGGCTGGCCAGTGGGTATCTGCCACCCTCTTGAACTCCTTCTTATACCTGAGCATTGGACATAACAAGCCGGCTTTGAGTAACCTGGACTCTGTTTCCCAAACACTCGGTTGTCTGTTGCATTACTACAGCTTTACGAAGCGGAAAATTTTCTCATACAACTGATTTTTAAGCACAGCGTATATAATAGGATCACCCCTAGTGACTAGTATGGCTCCGGCTGGTCCTCAACTGGTGGTCACGTACTAGGGCATATACTAGGCTAGTAGTCTGTGTGGGCTGTATTTCAGGTGGGGGCAACAATACACAATTATAAACCCATACTAACTTGAGTCCAGAAAGCGACTATCCAAACTTTGTCATCCACAAATATATAGGAAACCAAACGTCCACACAGGAAAAGTTTGAGATCATTCACCCCCAGTATTATATATACGGCCAAATTTGTAACAGAGCTACTGAAACAATAGTCAAACACTCACCTCAGGATAGCTTCTGCTGCCTTTTCTGGGTAAGCAGGGAAGTCCCTGCTATCCGGCTGTGTAATTGAGATGCTATACGAGGCAATGTCATCACATGGCACATCTGGAATACCAGTCATTCCACACTGTGTGGTCAGAATCTCACTCAGGTACTTAGAGAGATGCAGTCCTTCAATATCAAGAGCTAATGATGACTGCATTGCCGTCTGAAGGCAGCGAAGGAACGGCGACGAGTAGATGATGCGTATATTCTAAAACCAGTTATAAAGAGAAGTTAATGTATGTGAATCTAACTGTCAACCTAGGTTGGAAATTGACCATGCAGGAGTAATACCCCAGTGCTGCAGGACTTATCTATGTTTAGCTAGCTTCATAGCTCGCTGCTTCATTCTCCCATGAACAAGGAACACAGGGCAAGGAAAGTCATTTCGTGTTTCTGGCCACATTTGTAACAGAACTATAATAGCTATATGACGCACACTCAACTCCGTCCTTTTCTTGCCTTGCCTGAAAGCCGCTTGCTCGAGAGGCGACGCGCCTCTGCCTCTCCTCGTTTGGTGATGGGCGTGTCGTACGGCCGGACCGCCGTCCTCTTCCACAGGGGGTTCCGCGAGTCTTCTCGCTCCCCGTGCCTCATCACGAAGATCCGCTGGATCTCACACGATGACCCAGCAGACCCAGATCCAGACGCTTCTTCCATCCACGCTCATTACCCGCGTCACGTCGGTATACAGCCCAGCCCACATAAGGTCCCCCCGCTGTCGCGGTAGACGGCACTGTATGTACTTGGAACCGTTGCTCAAATGCTACTAGTCACTGATGCAGCTATGGCGGCTATAGTCTCGCGGAGCCAGCCCTCTCCTTCTCTGGGCTGGCTATGCGAGACTAACCAATGGCGCGGCCGCCCGGCTGAGGCCGGCTCCCGCCCACCACGCGCGACAAACAGGTAAAATAGCGACACTAACGGGTTCAGCGCTACACCCGCCTCATTTTAAAAATGGCGATTTTTGTAAAAGTGCCGCGTTCAGAAGTTATGGCATGAAAACCAAGTGAACAAGCCCATACCTTGGAGGCACAAGACGTCACAACGAACGGCGTGTATCGACTCCCGCATGCTATCTACTACAGTGGCTAGCCCGTGTCAGACTACTCTAGCGAGAGACCACGAGTAAACGCATACTACAAATAGCCACGCCCATCAATTAGCGGTACCGCGCATGCGCAGTTCACCGAGGGTTTGCACTTTAGTGCTTTTCATTTGGGGCTGCTCGAATCTGCCATGAATAATTTTCTATACTAGGAATGCGCACGCGCATATTTTGCCTCGCTAGTCGCGCCAATGTCCGATTGAGGCCGCTCGTGCGCGCGCTCTACTGACTGCGCGCGAAGCCAGAATCTGCGCGCACGGCGCGGCGGAAGCTAGACTTCCTACGAATGACGGAAGTTACACTTCCTTTTGGTGACTGATTGACGTTCTAAGC